GTGGCAATCAGAGGCAGGAGAGCTGCTGCACGTCGAGACCAGGCTGCACTAGACACCATTTCCTTCAAAGCAGCTCATGCCAGAACAACCTCCTGGGTGCCCTGGCTCAGCAGTGAGGACCTGTCCTCCCTCCCATGCTGCCAGGAAAACCCCAAGCCAGCCAAGACAATATCCCCGGCAGGACCAGACCGCACCAGCACTGCCAGTGCCAACTGGGCACCCGCAGCACAGGAACTGTAATTTTCACCTCCCTGGTAAGCCCGGCTGAACGTGGCCTTCAATTTGCAGCATGGTGGGGTTCATACAAGTTGGAATTAAACTATTGCCTTTTAATTTCAACTGAATGGCTTTTCCCCCTCTCTAAAGCGGCTGGATCTTAGTTCAGTGAAGTCTGCAGGACCCAGCTCTAAGGGAGGTGCTCGAGATACCATTACAGAAACCCAGACCCTTAGCATGTATTACCTAAAACCCAGGAATCCTGCTGCAGTACAGCTCCACTTGGCAGCACACATTTGCTATGTACTTGGGTAGCTGACAACTTCATGTAAGGTAAAATAAATGCCCATTTCTTGCTGCACACATCCCATTCTTCTTCACCTCAGCACAGCCTCAACTCTTCTGCAGAGTGTCCCATTTAACAGCTGCCTTGAACACGTTTTAAGCGTGGCACCAATAAACCAGGAGTCAGCAAAGCAACGGCACCACATAGAGAGTTTCAGACCAGCTTTCAGGCAATGTATTTAAGTCCTGCTAATCCAGACACAAAGTAGGGTTCAATATTATCACCTATAAATCAGTATTTGCTTTATTAAAATGTAATGGAAAACGCTAATAAGATTTACTTGCCAAATGAAATTGGATTATATCTTATCTACTTTGACTTGATTTGGTAGTTTTCCTTCTTCAGAAATCAGCAGTTTCAATTGCTTTTCCCCTCCTGTCCCCCCTCAGAACTCAGGCAGATGAGTGCACCACAGATTCTCAAACCGCTATTTTTAAAGGGAAAATTACAGGGGACAGGCATAAATGAAATAGAAAATGCAGATTGTGCAATATGAAACTGTCTAAAGAAAACCTGTAAAGCCATTAGAGGTGAACTCCACGTTCTGGAAGGCAGGCAGGCAGCAAGTTGGGGGTTTATGTATGGGTGGAAGCTGCCCAGCCAAGAAACTCAAAATTCAGAAAGTAATTTAAACCTGGTAATTTTCTTGTACATGCTTGGATGGCTGAACAACTGCTGGATGTGATGAATATCCATATGCAAAATTATGCTTATATCCACTGTAACCACTCAGGGCTCATTGATACATTCTATTAACCGGGCACAATAAAACCTTGATTTATTCTACAGTTACCAGGTCTGCAGTAAAGAATGGTCCTTTAATAACAGTGAAACAGTACTATAAGGTGTCAGAAGCAGTAGTTAAGTGATCATATCCATGCAAATGCAGCACTGGGCTGTCACCAGCCTGTGTGCTGGAGGTGGGGTGTCAAGACATCACTGTACAAGACATGGTGGAGGAATACAGAGATGAAACAGGGATTACTGAGACTCTGAGATGCAGTGATGCTTCTGCAGCACAAGATGGTCCATCAGGCAGCAAGGGTGCAAGAGCAGGAGGTGAAGCATAAGCCACATGTGTTACTTGCAAGATAATTTTCTATTGTAAGCACTACAAGTGAGAGAGGAGACGGACATTTCAATCACAGAATCCCAGACTGATGTGGGCTGGAAAGGAACTTTAAAGCTCCTCCAGCTCCAACCCCTGCCATGGGCAGGGACCCCTTCCACTAGAGCAGCTTGCTCCAAGCCCCTGTGTCCAACCTGGCCTTGAGCACTGCCAGGGATGGGGCAGCCACAGCTCCTCTGGGCACCCTGTGCCAGCGCCTCAGCACCCTCACAGGGAAGAGCTTCTGCCTAAGAGCTCATCTCAGTCTCCCCTCTGGCAGGTTAAAGCCATTCCCCTTGGCCTGGCCCTACAGGCCCTTGTGTGCAAAGCCCCTCTCCAGCTTTCCTGCAGCCCCTTCAGGCACTGGAGCTGCTCTCAGGTCTCCCCTTCAGGAGCCTTCTCTTCTCCAGGCTGCCCCAGCCCAGCTCTCTCAGCCTGGCTCCAGAGCAGAGCTGCTCCAGCCCTTGCAGCATCTTCTGTGCCCTTGAAGAAACAGGACTTAATAAGACCTAGTTCAAGGAAGTGCTCAGCACAGGACAAGAGGACCTGGAGGTTCACTCTCTTCTTTTTACAAGAAGTCTCTATAAAATTTATTTTCAAGTTTAAATAATAATGATTAGCAGATAAACCACAGCTCTCTTCAATGTAATATCGAGCTTTTACTGATGGAAAGCTGCCCTGCCAGGCTACCTCAACGGACAGCAATCAGGCAACATCCTACTCATCATAGGCATGACATCCCTTTCGGACCAGGGCTGCCCATGCTAAGGAGCTGGAAGCAAAGCCCAGCACCACCCACAGCACAGTGCACCCACTGTGTGTGATCAACACACCCATGGGCTGATCCCAGGCTCTCCAGCAGCACCCAGCTCCAGCATGACCCTCCCCTCAATGCAATGTGCTGTTTTTCTGCCTGGTCAAAACAGATGAGCATCATTAGCGGGGAGCAGATGCTGGGAGTGCTTTTGCATTGCGTATAACTGGCAAGAAGACAGAAGCGCATTAACAATTAGCTGACTATGACAAACTGCTCGTGTGTACAAACTGCTCCATGCTGTACCCAGATCCTGGTTTCACACTGCTTCAGTTTTATTTTCCCCTCTCCATTTTCTTTAGTTGTAAGAAATACTGAAAGCAAAATACTCTGCGTATCCCCAGTGCAGACTTAGAAGTTGGCCTGCATCTGAACAGTACCACATGCATCCTCACCATGGCCACAGAGACACTTAGAGTTTAGCCTAGGTAGCTTAGCTTGGGCACTTTATTCAAGTGTCTGCTTCACCTTCCCAACACCATCAGTCAGCTTTCCCACCCACAGACTTCCAACAGGCTCAAACCTCAGGTTAAGAAAACCATGAACTGAAGCCAGAAAAGGTTCCAACTTTGACATGGCTTGGGATGCACTGTGCACATCAATGGCATGTCAGCGGCTGTTGCATTTAAGCTTGAGTTTTGGCTTTGGCCAGCTAGGTCGATGCTTGTATCCAAACTAGGAGACCTGCACATTACAGCCTGGCTCAGGAGAGATTCCATGAGTTTACCACATAGTGGGATTTTATTTCAAATGCACAAACATCCACGAAGCAGACTTACCAACTTCTCTCTCTTGTGAGCACTACAAAGCTTCCAAGAGAGCCAGTTTCACCCTGGTTAAAATCCCTGTGGTATGAAATAACACAGCTGCAACATTTGTTTTCCTGAAATTAGACTGAGTTCACAGTTCCTTCTGCTCCTATTGAAAGTTACCTACCAAACAGCACAAACCATGGTGGAGCGAGTACAGCTTGGGTAAGATGTGTCACCCCAAACCCCCAGGGCACACCTATGCCAATTGCTGCACAACTTCTCTTAATGACAACCTACCAGTATCAATAGACTGTGCAAAAGGTAAGTCACTTGCTCCACAGGACACCATCCACTGTGGTTTTTCCTCCCACACAGCCCCTGGTTTTCAGAGCACTGCCTGCTTTTGGTAATTCAGCAAAGCTGATGTAGATGGGACCATGTCAATGAGGACAAAGAAGCAGCAAGAGCAGCGATGGACTGTACATGAGCCTCATCGAGCTGCTCTGCAGACAAGGCTGGTGCTTGTGACTTGCAGAACAAGAGCTGGTGGTCACAGCACGTGGTGTCAGAGCCTCAGCACCTGCAGCAGTGCCACCAGCCTGTGTGGCCAAGCAGCACAGAGAGCTGCCTGTGAGACCCAGTGCATGGTCCAGCTGCTCTATGGGCATTAGTGCACTGACTCACCATGTTGCAGGACAGCACAGACTACAAGTACCCTGGTGCCATGTAAATGAGGACAGTCCATTCAGCTTTTGAACGTGGAAGCATCCCATAAAGGCCCAGGTAGCGCAGCTAGCCCCATCTCCCACCACCAGCCCTGCAGGGACCTGTGCCAAGCAGCTTCACTGCCTACAGCGTGCTGACAGGGATAGTGCCTGTGGAGGGAGGCACAAAGCAACACCTCAAAGATTTGCAGCCAGTAAAGACACCACGGCAAAATTCCAGCCAGGAACTGCCACAAATTACAAGCTGGGAAATTGCACTTCACATAAAATCCAGTGTTGGAACAAATGAGAGAAATTATCCCCATTCCCTTCCCATTTGTTTTCTGCAGCTTAGAAGGAAGAACAACACTGTTCTGAAGGTTTCGTATCGCACCAAGCACTAAACCAAGTTCAGCCCCAGATGGAAACACCTCCTCGGTGTGATGGTCAGACCTGATGGGCTGTAACAATCAGTACAGGCACCTTGATGGTTCCTGCTGTCACCCACCGAGGCCACCGCAAGAGGACATCACCCCATCAGCATCCTCCTGCCCTCGCCATGGAGAGCCACACAAAACAACCTGCTGCCTCTACGAGGACCATTCCAAACTTCCACAGTGATTCAGCACCATCTGATCACCCAAACAGCATTTCGAGAAGCTTCTCTTCTCCAGGTATTGTTGCACAAGCATGGCAAATCAAACCAGAAGCACTTCAGCCCAACAACCACGGCAGTCCTCGGGAGTCATGCAGACAATTACTCAATAGAAGTCTCCAAAACCTCCATCTCATCACCACAGTCCAGTGAGAGACCCTGCTCTGAAGCCTGCACCAGCACCACTATCCCCAGCAGACAAAAAGAGAGCTTGAACCTTAGTCGTATTTTACCTTCCTTTGGCAAGACTATACTTATCCATCAAATAGCACAGGTCCCTGCTGTAACACAAACCCAACACACTACAGCTCCACCACAAACAGCAGTTTAGCACATTAGACTTTTCTTCTCAACCACATCCCTCTTCTCCATTGGATTTAGAGATAAAGAAACAAGAGGACTTACAGTTTACTGTGACTTTTACTTTCTTCACATCTGGGACCGAGACATCGTTTTCTGCGCTGCACTCGTATTCCCCAGCCTGGTCCCTTGTAATTCCATAGATGTCCAGGTACTGCCCACTCTCAAAGGGCTTTGCTGAAATGAAATAAGCAGAGAAAGAAATCACTGGGAGCCGAGCACAAACCACTTGAAGCCACACCAGCACCTGAGCAGCAGCAGGGGGGTTGGTGGACGCTGCAAATAACACACATCCAGGGGGAAGCTGCTCAGGAGCCCCAGCTCTAAGGCGGGCTGAAAACCCCTTCAAGCTCATACAGTTGACCAAGAGCCCTCTCCCAGCCCTGCCCCAAAGCTCAGCCCTTCAGCCTCCACACCCATGAGAGCTAATTGCAGCTCTGCCCTGAAGGGCTTCACAGAACATAAGGGGTGGTCCTCGGTGAAATCCCGGCCTCAAGACTTTCAGCACCATCAGGGCTCATGGTCTGCACCTGGGCAAAGACCTGCCCCTGCAGCACCCTGCAGCAAAGCCAGTGCTCAGGGCAGGCTGAAGGCACCAGCAGTAGGTGGTAGCCCAGCACCAGGTGCCCTTGCTTCCCACGACCATTGCAGCATCAGCCAGGTGGAGATGCAAACCCCATGAGCAGGGGACCCCTACCCTGCGGGCTGCTGAAGGGGACTGGGGCTGACCGCATCTAATGGGTGGTGGTGGTGGGTGCACGAGGGTGGGAGATCCTACCTCCAGGCACAGAGACCTGTCAGGCTTGCTCACCACACCACCCACTGCTGATGTTTTGTGCCCTAATACATATCTCACAGTACTAATTAAAAGAATTTTTCACATTTAGATAATGTATATAAATATAAGCAAATTAAAAGTAAAATAAAAAGCAGTAATTCTCCTTTCCCAAAAGACCTAAACCCAAGGAGTAAGATCCTCAGTGTGTGCTTTCTTACATAGCAATGAGGACAGTGAGTGTGAGCCCTTGTGAGGACTGGTCTGTCTGATGTAAAATAACATGAAGACCAGACTGAGATACTTGTGTATGTAACTCCTCAGTGCACTGTAACTGAAAACATTCATTGTCTGAGAGAGCAAGAACAATTGTATCATTCATGAGCTAATTTATCTCCACTTGACATGGAGTCACGGCAAACACAGCAACTTCTGTTGTTTCCCAGATCCCAGTACCTCCCAGCTGTTCCCTGCTGGGATTCCTGCCTGGCAGGGAGAACTCTGAGATCATAGAATCCCAAAATGGTTGGGCTGGAAGGGACCTCAAAGCTCACCCTTAAAGCCACAGGCAGGGACCCCTTCCACCGGAGCAGCTTGCTCCAAGCCCCTGTGTCCAACCTGGCCTTGAGCACTGCCAGGGATGGGGCAGCCACAGCTTCTCTGGGCACCCTGTGCCAGCGCCTCAGCACCCTCACAGGGAAGAGCTTCTGCCTAAGAGCTCATCTCAGTCTCCCCTCTGGCAGGTTAAAGCCATTCCCCTTGGCCTGTCCCTACAGGCCCTTGTCCAAAGCCCCCCTCCAGCTTTCCTGCAGCCCCTTCAGGCACTGGAGCTGCTCTGAGGTCTCCCTGGAGCTTATATCCTTCAGGGGAAAATTACTGCCTGGTTCAGAGCTCATCTTTCCGTGTCTTCCGAGCAGTGCACTCTCGGTAAGGAGCACACTGACGGTTTTAGACTGCTCACAAGGGGTTCACCACCTAAACCCCGAATTTTAAATATCATTTTTATCTTAAAGCAATCCATCAGAGCACTCACGGCTACAGACACTGGAAATTATAGGCGCAAAGGTTAACGCCGCTTGCTGAAAGTGCTCTCCCAGCCAGACAGGCTTTTAATTGCCTGTTAATGACTTTGCACCTTCCAGAGCAATGACAAAGATCTGAACTGGGCAGTGAGAGCTAAGGAGAAGTACTACGTCCTTGCCCATCACAGCACTGAATTGCATTTGCTTATCTGTTTGTGGATGAGTGTTTTAATGCGGGCAAGGTTCAAAACATCAATTATACCAGCGCATCGCTTGGAGATAAATTTCATACATTAATAAGCACACTATACCGTGCCTGTCACGGGAGAGAGCCCCAGCAAGCACTGGGTAGGTAAAGTAGAAAGATAAGCCTGAAATTGGAAAATGATTGTGAATTGAAGTGAACATTCATAAAATGCAATGAAATAATGTATGGGATTGGAGATACTGCATGGGAATGAGGGTTTTTTCCTTTTCCATGTTGGTGGTAGTAATGACTTGCAGGAAAAACCTTTCCACAAGCAGACCAAGTGCTCCTGTGCACATCCTGGCCCTCATCCTGCTCCACTTTGGCCAGGATGGATCACTTTCCAGGGCAATGTTATTTGCTACTGCTTTGAACAGCAGTGAAGGACACGAAGCCCCTGCCTGCACAGGGAGAGTTCCCAGCAAGACTTCTGCTGTCTTTGTAACACCAAGAGAGTGAGATCAATGCAAAGTTCTCCTGTGTGCCAGGTTAAAAATTGCTATTAAATTCTGAGGTTGTAATGCTCTCCAGGGTCATCAGTTCCCTGGATATGTGCTATGCACCGAAATACTGCATACGAGTCCTGGGACTGATTTATGATGTATCCTAGCCCAATGCCCAGCATCAATTTGGAAAAAGAGACAAAAATCTACAAAATACGTACAAGCACATGGAATTTCATGAAAAAACGCTTATTTGTGGTTTGGAGTTAAGCTGAAACCAAACATTCTCTGCTTCAAATGTTTCTGTTACTGTAAACAAAATACAGAACCCCAGCCTGGTTTGTGTTGAAGGGACCTTAACGCTCACCCATCTCCAACCCCTGCCACAGGCAGGGACCCCTTCCACTAGAGCAGCTTGCTCCAAGCCCCTGTGTCCAACCTGGCCTTGAACACTGCCAGGGATGGGGCAGCCACAGCTTCTCTGGGCACCCTGTGCCAGCGCCTCAGCACTCCCACAGGGAAGAGCTTCTGCCTAAGAGCTCAGCTCAGTCTCCCCTCCGGCATCAGAGGACAATGCAGTTTCTTGCCTCCCGGTTTTCATTTCCTTAGCAATCCCTCGATTGCAGCTGTACTCCTGGCATCGGTTTGCCAAGGGAATCAGAGAATGGTTCAGGTAGGAAGGGACCTAAAAGATCATCAGTGTTCAGCCTCTGCTGGGTCAGCACAGCCGCTGCTCTGTGCCGACAAGCGACAGGTTCACACACTCAGCATAACTCTGCTGCAGCAACAGCAGCATCAGCTCCTGGCTCTGGCAAGCAGCCACCCCGGCAGCCAGGAGATACCAGCAGGAACCACATCTGCAGGGCAAGGCAGGGGATTGGAACCAGGTGATCTCTAGGGTCCCTTCCAGCCCAAACCAGTCTGGGATTCCGTGGGTACATCAGGAGCTGGCATCAGCCGCCTTTGGGTGCTGCGGGGCATGGTGACAGCACAGCACATCCCTGCATCTCAAAGGCATTGTCGCTGCTGGGTGAAAACTTGGTGGAGCTCCCCCACTAATTCCTATTGGAATGATTTGCAAAAATGCCCATGAGCAGTTTTTGTAACCCCTGTATTTATGGGGATTTTATACTCAGCTGTTAATCTAATTTATGCTGCGAAATATACATTTTTTTATAGTGCTCTAACCCCCAAGTATTTCATACAACTCACATACACAGTTGAAAACCTCAAAATTAAGTCATTTTTAAACCCTCATGTCCCCAGAAGTTTTGCATCCAGCTCACATAAGAAAGTTTTGAGTAAATATGAGGAATACGTACTCTTCTTAGGGAATATAGAGATGCTCCATTTAATCTCTCATATTTGTCTGCAGAGTATTTCATCTTTGAAAGCTTGGTTTTATTTCTACACATTTCCCATGGCTGTGTGGGATAACTTAAATCGTTTTATGTGAAATATATATGCGTAAGTATATGTAAGCACATTTCTGTTACATTGCATGCACATCCTGCTCAAAAAGGGATATTGATAGAATCATGGAATCCCAGCCTGGTTTGTGTTGAATGGGAACTTAAGGCTCCTCCAGCTCCAACCCTGCCACGAGCAGGGACCCCTTCCACTGGAGCAACTTGCTCCAAGCCCCTGTGTCCAACCTGGCCTTGAACACTGCCAGGGATGGGGCAGCCACAGCTTCTCTGGGCACCCTGTGCCAGCGCCTCAGCACCCTCACAGGGAAGAGCTTCTGCCTAAGAGCTCAGCTCAGTCTCCAGCCAAGGTTCAGGAGATAACTCAGTTTTCCCACTGTTTGTTATTATGGTGTCTTGCAGCCCAGGGTAACAGCTCCTTGTTCTGCCCTTCTGCAGAACACGTACACTTTGCAGACCTACAAGATATTAGGAACGTGCCTGGCTGGCATCTGTGGCCACAGAGCCAAAAGACTTATCAGAGCCAGTGTCTCAGAGAAAGAAATCTGGAAGACTCATCAGGGGCATCAGCCTGAGCTGGTGTTAGCCAAGATCTTTGATCAAAGATGGGAAAAGCCGGTAAGTTGAAGTAAAAGAAATAGGGACATGAGATTGACTCATGTGCAAGCATATTCCTGATAGGTTTTGCAGCACATCTCTTAACTAGACTTGCTGATACACATGATACGGGAGCAATCTGCTCTGGATATCTTTGGTTGTAACACCCGTTTCTGTAGCCAGGAGGGGAAAAAACCAGTAACAGTAAACTTGAATGTCCATTTTCTGCTACTGCTGTGTGATATAATGCATGATAAATCCTCACTCTTGTTATTCCTCACGAGAGAACACAATTAAAACTGTGTCTTCTTACAACACATGTGGTACCTGGCACCAGGCGTAGCACACGCGCACGCTGCCATGTGGACCCGCTCTCAAAGGCTTGGATGGAGGACTTCTGTAAGGGTAGCATTCCCCCCCCGGTGTTAAACATCAGGCAGTAAGAAGAGAAACCTGTGCTTGAGTTTTGCAGCTATGTTCAGACCTCTGTGCTGCAGAGCATAAGGGCGCTCTGCTGCCAGTGCCAGGGCTTCTCACTGGAAGACCACAACCTGCAGCAAGGAGATCATCCCTGCACCGTGAGATGCAAAGCACCCTTTGGCCTGAGAGGGGTTTGCAGGAGAGCCTCTTCCACAGAGGCTGCTGGGTCTCCTGCAGCAAATACCT